AATAATCTCAAAGACAATGTAGGAATATTTTCGAAACGCTATGAAACTCTCTGTTCTCTTACTTTCATTTTCAAATTTCTACATCTACTTTAGAAATATTTAACTGTTCATAATACTAACACTTATCACATTGCGGTCGTTAATTAAAAAAGGGCACGCCTACTGTGGCCGGCATGCTGCAGGTGTGGGATATACACACTTACATAAAAGTCAAATAATTTTATAGAAACACTAAGCAAAATTTGGCGACGAACACAACAAGAAAATGGGAAACAGCATGAGAAGCTAACCCCGCTAAAGACATACAAAAACAAATGAAGGAGGTGGGAGAAAAAAAAACGTAGAGCAAAATAAAAGAAAGCATAAGAGCATTTGCGGTTGAATCATATGAGACTTTAAAAATGAGGCCATAAAATCGCAATCTCTGCCCTATCCAAACTATGCAGATGATCAACAACATAGCTAGCAGGCAAGCCCCACACAACAGAAAGAACCAAAACCTTCTAAGAGCAAGCTAGATTTAAACAGAAACTTTGTACCAGAATTAAAATACCTACGTTGGCATACAAGGGGATAGTTAAACTAATACCATTTTAACTTTGCAAGTTTTCTCCATATAATATATCGATTTTAATAATTTCTTTTTTTTCTATACTAATTTTTTTTTCAAAATTTATAATCACGCAGATACGTCCATCCTCTCTGATATATGATGATGTAATTTTTTTTTATCAAAACCCATTGTTGGTACAGCAATTTTTATTTTATCTCAATCCAGTAAATGAATTTTAATCATTTTTATTTTAGTATATTTATTTTTTTGATTGTGACAATCAAATACTTATATCAACCTTTTGTTTTTAAATATAGATTTATTAAAAAAAATAAAAGTACCCTTCAAAATAACATTATATTTAATAAACAAAAATTATTTTAAATTATAAAGTTGATGCACTACTAGTGTAATTATTCTGCATATAGCCCAATTTCATGAGTTGCAGTCCTTAATGTATTTCCATCTTTTTTTTCCTCAAGTATTCCTATCTTACATTGAAAATATAATTAATTTTATTCGAAACGAGAACGATAAGGTTTAATTATTTTCTATAAATATGATTTTAAGATTCAAATTTTACACATTGATAAAAATTTTATTTAGAAATCAGTTTACTAATTATTGAACCAACAACTTATTATTATTATCATATTAATATTTTATTAACATGGCAGTTAACAGACTACCTCGTTAATAAATCTAATGACGTGTTTGGATTGTAACTATAATATATAGCCACGTCTCCCAAAAATCCTTTTTATTATTATTATTATTATTTTTACGAGTTCTCTTCTCATATTTCTAATAAAACTAAAAACTCCTTTTTTATGTGCGTGTTTTTATTTTCTTTTCGTGCAACAACTAACAATCAAGCAAGGGAAATGAAGCATATGAAACGCCAAATCAATTAAAATGCACAAATATGTTTGACAAGTTTTTCTTCGGTTATATATCAACCACTTATAAATAAATAAATAAAAGTATATTTCTAAATAAAAAGAAATCATATAAGAGTGCAACAATCAATAGAATGGCTTTTACGTAAATTTACACCAAAATTTTCCATATTATACAGTGACCTCCTTCAAGTATTGGTAAGCTCTGATCTGCGGGATTAATTTTGCTTAATTTGTGCTTCCCACCACCACCACTCAAATTCTAATATTATTCTATCACTACAGAAAGCGAACCAAGAATCGTTACGAAATGGCCAAAATGGGCACGTGAACAAAGACTCCGTTCTTCTGTTATCATTCCAGCTGTGAGAAAGAAGAGTAGGTCATCTAATTCAGCACCATTTCTCCACACACCACTCATGCACTCTGTCGGTATAATATTTCTTGATGTTTAGTCTCAATAAAAAGTTGATCGAAAGAAATCTTGAAAAAAATCATTCCTTGGTATATTTTAAATAAAACCTAAGGAATAGTTCACAAGGTTTGTTTCTTTATTTTGTTTTCTGAATTCAAGTTCTAATAAAAATACCTATAAAAATTATTTTCTTCACATCTTAAATCAACGAAAACTGCTCGCTTTTAAAATTGTCTAAAAATAAAATTTAATATGGATTAATGTGTAAATTGATTTAAAAATATTTTAGGATTGATGAAGCCTGCAGCCTCTTAGAAAAAAAAAGGGCAATTTTCCTAATAATCAATCTTTGTTAAAATAAAAAGAATATTAATGCGAGCACTTAACCTTTAATTTGATTTTCTGAAATGCCAATAACATGGGAAAATGGCAATTTAATCGGGGGGATGGGGCCCCACTGGTGCATATCAAAGAAAAGGATGTGAGGGGAGAGGTTCACCAAAAAGGCCTGCCACTTCGTCTTCTTCGTACCCAGCTCAGGTCTTTCACATTTTGCTCCCTGTTTTCATAAAGCGTGGCACAACTCACGCTGACCAAATCTGCATTCTCAATTTACTTTTCTACCCTTCTCCGATCTTGCAATTGTAGAGCACCTCACGTTTTTTTTTTTTAAGGGCGAGGGTATTCTCATGTCACCTCACTCTTTTATATTCCCATTTCTTATTTATATTGATGTATTAATTATTTTTTAACTTTTTAATTAAACTTTTTTTTTTTTCTGAACTTGTTTCCATTAAACTAACTGGCACACGAAAATTGTTTGAAGAAATGATAATCAGTCCTGGGAAACAAAAGGAGTCAAGGAAAAATTTAGGATGAATCAGTCTGTGAGAATAATATCAGGCCTTTTTTATTTTTTTTCCTTCTGCTTTGGAAAAAAAAAAAAAAAGTTTCAAGGAAAAACTACCTTTCCTTCTCCTATCTTCTTCCATACTGCAAGTTAGATCATTCATGATTTTGTCATATACCGAACAAATATATTAGTTTCATCTGCGGTGATGCATGTTTTAAGAGGAAAAAGGCAAAAATGATGGTTTTGTGTTCCAAAAGTAACAATTTCTCATATGATTTAATCATTAGATAGATTAGAGGCATGCCTTCATTTCGGGATTTATAATATTTTCATAAAGATTTATATGTCCTCCTACTTTACCATAAGCCTGATTAAGATGATGCAGTTATATAAAAGAACACTCTGAAATCGAAAATTGCAAAAAATGGAATAAATGTGGGGTCGAACTGCTTAAAGGTGCAAGCATCTAAGAGGGAAAAAAATGGGGAAGAACCAAGTTTGGTAAAGATGACAAACTTGTTCAAGAGCATGAACAGATGACATTTGCCCATCGTTTTGCTACTACTAGTGCTAGCTATAGCCTATACAGGTATTGGAAACGTGAACAGGTAGACATTATTTCAAGAATTTTGCTATAATCTTGGCTTTTTTACAACAGAAACTGCAGACATATATCCTCTAAACTAGCTAATTATGTATTTCAGCATTATAGAAATAGTCTTATTATACATTAATAAGATATAGAGTTGCAGCTTGATGTTGTCCTTGATATTATGGTCTCGGAAAATATGCAACCCACTACAATGTAATACAAAAAGGACATTAAGGCTGAACAACTCTGTAAGATTGTAATGAACTAGTGATGGTTTCTGTTTTTTCTTTCAAGCAAAAAACAAGTAAAAAAAACAAAAAGAGGGCGGTGGGGAGGTGGCGTTAAGGTCGTAGACATACCAAGCTTTTCAGTACGTAATTTTAAACAGAAGTCTTATGAAACAAGAAATCACATGCATCAAAGAAAGGAACCTAAAGGGCAAAGACCATTCTATCGTTTGACTAAATCGCCCCTATAGTCCATTCCATTCTTCTGGAATCTAAATAAAAGCATTTAATATATCGGCATACTAGTATAATAAATCTGACGGATTCCTCTAAGAATAGGATGGCAATTGCACCTTCATTTGCCCGGATTTTTTTGTTCATTTCAAGGCAGATAGCCAGATGGTTGTAGCGGTAGTTCTTATTCAGAAAATGAAGCGATTTGGATCTTCTCTCCAGTCACATTCAAAGATATCCCATCCCTCAAATCCCAACCTAAGGAAAACAACTCCACACTACATAGAGGTTGTTTTTGTCCTTTCATTTAACTGTTCCAAATCATTGATTTTATACTTCAAAGCTAAATCACAAACTCCTGCAAAAGAGAAGGGGAGGTACCAACCCTTCCCCAACTAGACAAAGCCCATCATGAGATTTTTTTTATTTTTTTATACTAACATTTTAATAATTATGAAATTAATAAAAATAAAAAACAATTATTAATGCAAGGGAGTCGACAGTTTACAGGAACAGCTGGAAACTAGAAGTCTAGAACAGGACATATTAACAGAATTTTAACGCTTTTTGGTGCTTTGCAGAGATCACCATGTCCTAGGTCCACAAGCAAACACCAAGAAATATGCTTTTATCAATGAAATGGGGTACACATGAAGTGAAATTGGAACAAGTTATATATATGGTGTACTGTACTCCTCTTGTACAGAGTACGCTACTACGTACTACTACTATTCTGCTGCTGCTGCTGCTAGCTACTTGCTTCACTTCAACACTTCATACACACTAAGCTGCAACAAACGCTTAAATTGTTGTTGCCACAAACACGTGAACTTGTGAACAAATCACTTACCAAACCAATAAGAAAAGGAGGAAGTTGTGGAAAGTTCAAGCAATGAATTTTAGCATTAATTGAGTTGGTAATTAAATTCAAAAAGAAATGAATTTTCAGCACAATTATGACAATAAAGATGCTACTACTACATTACTTTAATCCCTATTTACCTAATTAAACTATCTTAGCGGAGAATTCAAAGAAATGAACTGTCGTCGGCCAGTGAACCAAAAATTCCAAAATCTAAGAAGCATTGATCTATCAGTGAAAGATAAAAAGTAATATGTCTATAATAACTACAAATCACCAACCCACTTGATTGAATTGCAAAAGACAAGGCATCATAACCTCAGATCCCACAATGAACTTCACAGGTGTGCTTGAGTGTTAATGGATTATGCATCAGACACCACACTGAATTCATCATCTTCCACTGGAGCAGGCAAGTTAAGATCTATCAAACTGTTCTCAAGTTTAGTCGATACTTCAGCAGCAATATTAGTACTAGTTGAAGAACCTATTAGATGTGATCTTTTATGTCCACCTAGTGCTTGTCCAGAACCAAACACTTTGAAGCAATATGGGCACTCAAAAATTCTCTCATTAGCATCAGCACCACCAGCAATGTTTCTTACTTCTGTTGCATTTAACGAGCAAATCCTCTTATGACCACTCAGTGCCCTTGAAGATCGAAACAGTTTCATGCATTTCTCACACCTAAACTTCCCGCGAATCTTGTTGACTTTGATCTCCTCTCCTTCCACCAACATGTCAACTGACTTTTCTCCATCTTTCACCCCTTGTTCTTGATCTTCTTCTTCATTATTTCTCATCCAAACGTCTCTTGACAGCATCATAAGGCACCTAGCAACATCTTCTTCAGGGGAGGTATCGGAAACAGAACTAACCGGTTCTGGCTCAGCTGGTGATGATGACTCGACCCAGCTCGGATTCTTAAAGTTCACTACTTTCTTGACATCAAAATCCTGCTTCTGATTTTCTCCAAAACCACATGATTTACGGATCCTCTTGGATCGTCTTCGAGTTGGGTTTCTTGACTCGGTCTCACTCTCCCTATCTTGTACAACAACAGACCCAGTATCAGCAGCAAAAGAGAACTCAGGATCTGCAAGCCTGAAACTTTTCTTGGGATTCTCTCTCAATCCATAAGCCAGAGACTTCTCTTCAAAAACTTCTCTGTTCTTGACGGTTTCTTGCTCTTCTTGTACTTCTTCTTCACCAGCAGAAGAAGAATATGAGGACAAGGATGACTCATTACGATCAAGGCCGGGTTGCTGCCGAGTTGCTGCCAAGTGGGCCTTCATGTGACCACCTAAAGCTCTGCCATTGGGAAAAGTTCTAATGCAGAGCCTGCATTTATGCCTCTCCATTGAAGCAGTTAGCAAGCAAAGATCAAAGCTTTCTTTTTAGCTCTCTCTCTCTCTCTCTCTCTCTAACTTCTTGCTATAAAGCTTTGTAGAGAAGAAGGCAATAAGAGAAGCATAGAGGATTGGGGGAACTTAAAAGGAGTAGGTGACAAGCATTCCTCCACCAAAAGACACACACAACCCAAAAACTATGATTTGGAGAAATAAAAAAGAAAAAAAAATCGAAAACGGTTGTAAATTGTAAATATGTATTTGTGTGTGATAATGTAGCTATTATCTAGATGGTAATATTTTAGAATGGCTAAAAAAAATAAAAATGTGTGATCGTTAATGGAGAAAGAGGGACAAGTAACATGCAAACCTTGCCCATTGAGGTAATGAACTTTTCTTTTTACCACTTTGTAGAAGTTCATAAATATTTATATATAAAATATAATGCCAGTTAGACAATTATGTTGTACTAACTTTTTAGTGAATAATTTTATTTTTCTCTGTACATTTTCAAGGGGCATAGTGACACTCAATTGCTAACCACACCACCATCCATCTTTTTATTGCTCCACCAAGTTTAAATTGATTCTGTAACATGGTGTTGGTTTCAATTTGAAAACATGAAGCGGATTTTGTTTGGCCCCATTCGTGAGCTTTCTCTTGCCGAATTCCGTGACTTGATTTATCAAGTATGCATTTTTATTTTTATTTTTTTACACCGGTACTGTTAAGTTTCTGCTTTCTCCTACTTTTATTTGCACCTATTTTGGAATATCATAGACGTGACCTATTTGCCTCATTTGAAAATTCTCCCAAAAGTTACATTTCAATGTAAGCTGCGTTTTCACCTTCCAAAAAATGAATGAATAAATAAATAAATGAAAATTGCATTTCTTGTCCCAACTTTTACTGTTATATTTGTTCAAATATGAAAGTAAGTATATCATGAATGAATTCGGTGGACTCAACAATTTCAAATATGTGGGCATGAGCTCTCCTTTAATGCTGTGCCTATGACCATTGAATTAATAAATTTTTTTCTTCAACAGGAAATAGCTCAATTTTTTATTATTATATATAATGGTGTGAATTTTTAATTTTTTTTATAATGAATAAGTTTTTTTTTTTTTTTTTACCAAAATGTAAAAAACATAATAATAATTTAAAGTAGAATTGATGGATAAAACAGATAGAAAAAACTGATGGAAAAGTTAAACATTATATAACTATATGATAAATATAAAAACAGATAAAAGATGAAGAATATTATAAAAATAAATTAAACTGTTTACTCTTCCGTGGTTATTAAATTGGCATCATTTTAGATTCAGGTATCAAGCGTGGCAATAATGAGCGAGATTGAAGCTGCTGAACTGAATAAATACGTGGCTCGTTTTTACAAGCCGAGAAAGAACTGGTTCGTTTATGGTTAGCTACGAGCCACTGAGGTGGGCCATCGGCGATAAAACCACGTGCCATCCTTTTTTATTTTTATTTTTTCAATTTTGAGTAAATGACTTTTACTTTTATTAGGAAATTAACATCTCAGAAACGAAATGAGCTTGGACCTGTTGCTAGATTTTTTTTTTTTTAATGAGAAAATTGTAGTTTAAAGTATTTATATGCATTGATGAGCAGTGATTTGTTAGAGAAAATCCATAAGATTCTGCTGCTCTATGAAGGTTATATCTGTGAATAAAGAATTATTCAATTTATCTAGAGTTGTATTTTGTTCCTTTTTTAAAAAAAATTGTGTTTCATGAATTGTTTTCATAATGGATTTATTGTAAAAGAGCAGGGTAGTTATACCTAAAAATATTTCTTCATACCAATTGTAACTGTATGAGGCTTCGCATGCCAGCAGATGCATTTTTAAGCGGTATACCGTATACTTTTCCAAGCTCTTCTTCTTCGCGTGAAACAAATGCTCCCGATCCAGATTCTTTTAAAAAAAAATAGAAATATTTTAATTTCATTGAGGAATGAGAGAAAAATATTTTATTTTAAATTATCAACTCATGATATTTGCTAACAATTATCACTTAATCCCTTTATCATCGTCGTTGCCCTCACGATTTTAACACTATAACCACAAGTATTAGTCTATTATAATGGCGATTACCATTGTATCACTAATGTAACACCGGAACAATTATTATTATTTTTTCCATCACCTTCGTTGTCAGAACAACTATCACTTTATGATCCTCGTTGATACAACCACCACTATCTCTACCTTATCATTGCTATCTTTCTTATTTAATTATCATAGTTCTATAACAGTTAATGAAAAATAATTCATATTTTAGAAAAAAGTATTTTTCCTAGCACATATAAACTAACTCATTTTATGGAGGAAAAAAAATCAGGAACCCCTCCCCCCCCCAAAAAAAAAAACAAAAATTGGTTTCTTAAACGACATTTATTTTTATTTTTTTTTAATAGTGAAATTTTAGAGTATGGTAATAACGATAGAGATTGTAGGAGGTTGTTCTTCTTTTTTTTGTTGTTAGAATTTTTGCGTTGATTGTATCTTTTGATGAGTATTAAAAAAAAAATCTAATGTTATTTTAAAATGATTAATCCTAGCATAAATTGTTTTGTCCATGCCCTATTATTTTGCTTCAAAAACACAATAATACCAAACAAATTTCTTTTTAAACATTGTTTAAAAATGAAAGGCAATAGATATATTTAATAATGTTCAATGTGTGCCTTAAAAATATTTGGAAACTTTTTTTTTGTGGGTGAGGAGGAATCACAATGTAACTTGCATACTAACACAAATCTGAGCCAATTTGTCAAAAGAAAGTCATGAACTCTCTGGTCTGTAATGGGAAGATTGACCAACCTTTTATGATATGTTGACCCTATTTTTATTTTTCTTTGTTATGACCGAGACCAAAACCGAAGGCAATACCATTTTTTTTTTCCCTTGGAAACGACAAAGTCACGAAACTGACAGGGAGCGTGAGGTTAAAATGTTTTACTGGCAGCAGCCAAAATAAAAGTAAAAGGTCCGGATATAAGCAGCGTATAATATCTACATGTGGTAATAGATATGCATAAACAGGGTTTAGTACTTTGATGCAGCAGTGCATGAAACTCTGCCGCACATTTATGGTTGCTACTGCAGTACATATTCGTTTGTAAAAATATGTTTAGATTTAAAGAGTATTAAATTAATGTTTTTTTATGTGTTGTTTGATATTTTTAACTTCAGTATATAAAAAGTATTTAATTGATTTTTTTAGCCTAAACACATTTTAAAAAACATTTTCAAATGCAGTGCAAAAAAAATACGTTCTCAGTTTTTCTGGGGGAAAAAAAACCCACACCCACATGCCTCGATATTTGTGTAATGCCGAATCAAGAAGACGGAGTGCGAACCGTACCCTTTGAACGTGGGACCTGTACTATGTATTTACATGCGGATACATTGGCTCGTACGTCCCAGAATTTTTGGTTTCCTAGCTACGATGGCATGAAATAACAGTATTGTACAAGTTTTCGATCAGTGCTGGCATAGTAAAATAAATTTTTTTCATTTATATTAATATACTTATATTTTTGAATTAACTTGTTATATTTTTTATTCAGAAAATATTACCGATCTAATTTGTTTAAAAATAAAATTTTTAATAATTAGATAATTTTGAAATTCATTTATTTTAAAATTTTTATATTATATTCTTACACACTTTAAAAGACGTATCGAGTTATCGGTGCTCGGAGCCGGTCTATCAAACACAGAAAAAAAGGTAAATGACAGATTAGACAAATCTTGGGTATGTTAAGCAAACTTTTTACGTGTCATGATCAATGATGCTTCGCCAATTGGAAACCAACGACATCTGCTTTATTGCACATATTTGGATCGTCAGTCTCTTTCTTTGGTCCTACAGTCGTACTGATATCTCAAAGAATGGTTAAGGTTTGCAGGACTAGCCCTAGATTACGAGTCTCTCATTATCGTCCCATCCAATTCCTACTCTCGTCCTTTTTTAACTTGGATCTGAAAATGGGTTTGGACTTTGATCCGGGTCCATTAGATAGACGGGTAACGTTTGACAAAAAATTAAGCCCATGCCCATGTCCGTATATAATATACCCCAATGCTTTAACAGGGCCCCTTTGACAAGTTCTCCTTAACGCCTCACGCATTCAACTCAGCCATCAAAAAAGAATAAATGAATGATATACATATCTACATGCGTGCAACGGAAAATAAATTACTTGATTGTTTCATGATTTTGACTTGCATAAGCGACTCTTGATTGCTCGTGCAATCTTTATTACTAGTGCAATGTCCACTAGTGCGATGCTTCTTCTTCTTCCTCTTCTTCTTCTTCTTCTTTTTTTTTTTTTTTTTCATCTATCAAATGCTTCTTTCCAAGTTGCATCAAATAGACAATATCTTATAACCGAGTTGATGACTCACTTTTAAAAAAAATACAAAAAAGGATCGAAACATGTCATTAAAAAACTCTATTGAGACAAAGATAAGATGTGAAGAATGTAGAGGAGGTAATATGAATAATTAGTCAAATCTAATATGGATTGTCTATGAATGATAGTTGGAGTCGAAAGCTCTTCTAGAGTTTCTTTATCTAGGATTCTTGAAAAAGAGGATCAACTAACGAAACTAGATAAATAGATAGAAAAATTTAATTAGAAAAATCTTTCATAAATTCACTAATTACTTAATTGTTGAAAGATTTTTTTATATGTATTCGAAAAGAAAAGGACTCAATGATTATTTATTCGTCAGAATTAGAAGTAAAAATTTTGGTTCATAGGGACTTCATCGAAACGTTTTTATGAGGAATGGGCAAATCCAATCATTTCTCAAGAACAATAGCTAAAGGACCCCATCGGTGAGTGAAATAAAACATGAAATTGTAACACAAAAATATTGTTAAAAAATAAAACATAATAACAAACATGATATTTCTACCCTCTAATTTTCATTTTTATTGGATAAAATAGAAGGATGATCACACACATCTATAAATGTTGTGCTGCCACAGTTACACCTAAATATATCTGGAGGAATCCTATTATATAACTATTGTATTGAAACTTAATATATCTATAAGATTGAGATTAATTAGATATAAATATACTGTTTTTTTACAGAAACTAATAGCATTACTGAAGCAAATTATGAATGAGTTTTTTCTTTTAATATGAACTAATTTCTTGGAGTTTTTGCTCTCCACTTTTTGAATCCTACATCTTTTTTTTCTCAATGTTTTTTTTTTTTTTTTACACTTATAGTTTGTTCATTGTTAAGAGTGCTCATGCACCGAAAATAGATTATCACTTAAGTACATGGTAAAAAAAAAAAAAATCACCTAACTATATAACGGTCAAAGTATTATGTATTGTTATTTACTGTGCATCATTGATCACCTTGACTAACATTAGGTACCTTTCCAATTATGCACCATCAACATGAGCCACCTTATCATTTATTTACCACAAATTCAACTGATTTAATTATCTCTTCCATCAAAGTGATCTAGTTCCTTTAAAAAAAAATTTCTGAGTTCACAAAACGTGCCAGCCCAGTCTAAAAACATACCCCTATAAAAGTCAACTATCTAAAATTGTCTCCACATCATATCCAAGGAGAAAACTCCTACAAATATGTACTTATCCTATTTTTCGTAAAAATGAGAAGTTAAAAAAAAAAAAACCTTAAAGAAAACGGGATAGATATTGATGTGAATTAGGGATGGCAATTGAAGTTTATCGAAATGAATGGTGTATCCATAATCTGTTGTCTCTATCTTTACCGAAGCCTCTTAGCATTTATTATTTTATTTTTTCACATTAAATTTAGTTAAATGAAAAAAATTGGTGAATTTAATTTTCAATGAAGGCAAAATAGCAAAGTAAGGTACTAATTTGTTGACAAAAAAATGTATTTTGAAATAGATAAACAAAAAAAGGACTCTTTACTCTTCAGGAACTGAGAGAATATTAGGTAAAAAGTAAAAAAAAGTCCCTTGATTTACGAGCAACTATTGTCAATTGGGAGGCTTCTTTTACTAATCTGACCTATTTCTAGAGCCACAGCATTTAAAAATTTTTATGGGACGCAGCCCTATTTTGATGAATGGGTCATCTTACTTTAATGTCTGGATGTGGAAATTATTCAGAAGTCAAAACGCATTTGAGTTTTTGATACATGAAGTTGATGGTTCTTGCAATCTTGCTCCCTGAACAATTTGGCCCTAACAACAATACAAAGAAAAAGAAGCAAGAAACAGCCAGTTACCTCTAACTTATAAGATTCACTACAAGAAAGTGCGAATGTCCCTTTTAATGTGTGTGTTAAAGATAGCCACAATTTGCTTAGTGAGAAAGAGATACAAAGATGGCAATGACAATGGGATAAATCGAAAAAAAGAAGGAAAAAAGTGAGAAATGGGAAATCCCACCAAAGTTGAAAGGGGAATTGATGGGGGCCGGCAGAAGCAAACAAGAAAAGAATCTTAATCTCGCTGTTTCGTGTTCCGGCAAATTAAGCCTAGCAGCTTTCATAGGGGAGGTCCTCTAGCTGCCACTGCTTTCTTTTTCTCCTCGTTACTTAAAATGGAAGGCAATGGAACTTGATTAATTGTCAAATTACTCAATGATGATCTCGACTTCTTTCTATTTTACGAAAACAATTTTTTAACGGCAGGGAATTCGGACTGAAGCAAATGTAAAAAAAATAAAAAATAAAAAAGGAGTCTATTTTCTTTGTTACATGATTAAGATGATTTTGCTTCGTCACGAATTATATATGTTCACACAAAATGTAAACCCCCTAATGCTAAGTGGCCAACCGGTCGGCCAGGAAACTAATCGGCGAATCCTAGTCATGTCCCGCCTTAAAATACACTTAATTTTTTCATATCATTTTTTGAGAAAGCTAGTCACCAGTATCATCTTTTTCTACTCTTGATTTTTTTCTTTTTTTAATATGGTCTCTTGGACTGTTTTTCAGATTGAAACTGACATTTGATATTAAAAAATTCAGGTGGCGTATCATGTTAGATTAATTTGCAATATGACCAAAAAATAAAAAAATAAAAAAATGTATCTAAAAATAGATAATTAAAAAGAAAAAAATAGAAAAAAATCGAGAGAGGACTTCTGCAGCTCTACAATTCTTAGATAAATCACATATGGTCTTGGAAAGCCTCGTGGATAATGACAGAGTTCCAATTCCATTCCTCTCTTTGCCCTAAAACCCATAATTCTTTTGTTTCCAAATGAATTGAAAATCACAAAGCAATGACTTTTCTTTTTGTCTATGGCTTCTGGGGCTCTTGTGTATCCAACTATTGTGCCAATCCCAGTTGATCTTTTTGCCTCCAAGAAACATCTTGATCTTAATGGTGACTTGGGTTTTGTTGACTGTCTAGAAAATAATGTTTTCAAGGTCAATTTTGACAAGTCTACAAAATCATCACCCAAGAGGGTCCTACTTAATGCATCTTGAAATCCTTTGATCTTCGTGTTTCCTGATGATGTGAGTTCATTTATGTGGATATTGAGATATATGCTTTGTTGAGTAAAGATTCTAACTTTGACAACAAATTGATGGTGATTACTTAACTTTGATTGATTATTCTAATTATCTATGTTAGCCCAATCATTATTATAGTACTGAAATACATGATTTTCTCCTCTTAGAGGTTGCTGTAATAGTGTTCAAGCTCTTGTTGAATCTTTATCGCTCTTGTTCTCTTCATGGCTATTACTTGAAAGATAGAAAAAAACAACCTACTAATCACTAGGTTGTCTGTATGGCTCTTCTTCTTATGTTCATGGGTATTACTTCCATTTGAAAACCTTGAAGAAATGATGATTTAGTTAAAAGTAATTTAGTGAGAAGGGATTCTATTTTAGGATAATTATGTTCTTGATTTTGAAATTCATTACTATTGCTTGCACATTTGCACATTTGATCATCGAAAAGATCTGAATTTTTTTAGGAGGATGTTTAATAGATAATTAAAAAATTTATTTTTTGAGTAAGCATTTCTTAATTGTCAAGAATGGATTAATTTGAGTGGTTAATGCACCATATCGATCTGTTTTGATTAGTTTGTGCGTGATTAGAATATAAAATGTATTGATATCTACCATGTGCCATGTGCTCGTTATTTAAAAGGTAGATGAATTTTCTACATCAATATCTTATTTAATTGAATCGTGTATAAACTCATATATAAAAATTAGTCTTCGGTTTCGATTTTCTATCCGTAATTCGAATGCTCGGTACTTGTTATCACCGGGTCATTGTGTAACTTTGTTTAATGGCTTAACATCCCTTCTCTAAAAGCCAAATCTTTCTAATAGATGTCAATTTTTTTTTCTTTTTGGATAAAGGATGATGTCTAATTAGTTAATTAGGTTGTTGCTTTATTTCATTGGTTGCAGGTTGTATGCTTATCCTTCCATGGGTTTGTGAGAAGCAACTTGATTTATTTCTTGGTTGCAGGAAGGTTCTTGGCAAGGTTTTAAGGGTGGTAATAATAGGGAGAAGGACTTGATCTAAGAGTGGTGGAATGGGGCATGACTAAAAATGGTTTCTTTCTAAGTTGAAGCGAGCTATGAGTTGTTTGAGACTATAAAAAGGAGAGAGTCAGTCCTAATGTATTTATTTATAATGTTTTGGTTGGTGGGTTGTGCAAGGAAAGAGGATAAGAAATACTGAAAAGATGTATGATGAAATTTATGACGAAATGTTGGTGAGGAAAAGAGGAATGAGGATAGAAAAGCTGTTTGATGAAATGTTTATAAGAATTAGACATGCAAAAAATTTAAGGAAATATCGTTGCAATTTTTCTACCCAAATATAATTTATAACAAAATTTATATTATTAGATGTTGGTGCAAAATTGAAAAATGACCAATAAAAATTGATCAATCCGACAAAAAAGTTAATAACATATAAAGTGTGTTATAAACTATATCTAAATAGAGAGATTACAACGATACTTTTGATATAGTTAATAGATTAATTGTTTTGCATAAACGTTTAATAACATAAAGTGTGTTATAAACTATATCTAAATAGAGGGATTATAACGATACTTTTGATATAGGATAAGACACAAGACGTATTTAACCCAACAATTTAATGCTATATATATATATATATAAGGGTATGCAAACTTTTTTTTTATTTTCTATTTTTCAGCTAATTTTTGATATTTGCTTTTTTATTTTTTTTAAAATTTTTTCCATGTGGAAAATTAATCTAACATGATATGTCATTGGATTTTTTATGTTATATGTCAGTTTTAATCGAAAAATTGGTCGGAAAACAGCTAGAAGAGCTCTACATGGAAAAAAATTAAGAGTAGAGAAAGGTGATGAATAAAAAAATACAAAGACTATTTCAAGAAAATTTAAAAAAGTGAAGGACGTTTTATGCAATTAATCCCAAGTTTTATTCTTTTAGCCATAGAAACATTTTTCCAAGAATTTCTCAACTTTTACACACAGTCCAAAATGTGTTTGAATTTTCAAGAAAGGTATGTAAGATGATGCTTCTGTGCTCCCCAAAACGGGTGAATATCTTGAACAATATTTACGACACACTTGGAAGTTTTTCTACTGAACTTGGCAACTATAATCGAGCTAGCGCCTCCTTGGTGCACTAGTTATTTCTTATATACCTTTTTCTACAGGGGCTGGGCTGCTGATGAAACAAATTAGGGCAATCTATCTGAATATTGCCACTAAATATTAAGCCAAGAGAGGCTTCTGCGGATCGAACTCACTTTCCAGGTGATCACCGTCAGGGAAACCTTCTTTTCCTTTAGCCCATAGCACGAAGTATAGACCAGTAAACATGAGGAACATACCAGCAAGGCTGCAAATGAGAAGGCAAATAATTAATAACGATACTTAAAAAGAATAAGGCGACCAATTTATTAGGTGCACTTGTCATAACTCATAATCAAAAACTGATTCTGGCCAGCATACCTTCCTAGGTTAATTCTGTCGCCTAAGGTAATAACAGAAAAAACAACTGAGATAACTGTTCCAATGGGGTTAAACACAGACACAAGAACTGGACCCCTCTTTTTCATTGCCCATCCATTGAAGCTCACACATACTCCTCCAACGGCACCTCCCTGTGCATCCAAATGATTACAAGTTTTAAGTCTGTATAAGAGATTGATAAACTGCAGGATGTTTTCAAAACACAACGTACATGTAAGAGTGCATTTTCCCATTCTCAAAATTGTTTCGGTTCTCCCTAAACTTCTTCTTCTTTTTTGTTGCCACAAAATAAAATTAAAGGGAACGATTGGAAATATCTGACTTTGCTTGAAATGATTGAATTCCTCCATTTCTTATTAATGGTTCCATAATAGCAATAGCATAAGGCAAACTAAAATAGAAGAAGGTGGCTCTAATCAATTAAACGGAAATTGCCATATTCTTGTATTCTTACGAGAAAAATGAATAAAAAATCTATACATAATAGATGTAATCAATGATGAAATTACCAGTACAGAATAGCAAACGAGGTCCCCAAGTTTCATTAGGGGCCAACCAATGTCCACTTTGTGGTTTTGAATCAACTCAACAATTGCAGTTATCACCACACCAATCAATGATGTTATGGCACATAGGGACATTGGAGCAGGAAAATCACCCAAAGTGGCAGCCTGTGATACATTGCAAAAATCAATCTGGGAAATTAAAATATTGCATACGAGATTAATTCCTACATTATTGATCTAACAAATCACCTGCAATACAACGTTGCTTGCCAGAACAAAAACCGCTGCCAGGAGATATAAGCAGCCGATAATCTTATGTTTGTCGAAGACCATATCTGCTGCGGGAGTAGTGCTTGAGAACTTTGACTCTTTTGCTGATTCAGTGCTGCTCATTAGACTCATTATGATGGCACCTACAACACATAACAATGTGCCTACAATCTTGACTTTGCTGTATACGCAACTTAGCTTAACTTTCTCTAACCTGCACTTAATTGGGTAGTCAAATTAACAATCATTGAACAACAGACGAAAAGGTGTTGAGACTTGAGAGGAAAGGTCACCAATTCATCAGATGTTAGCTAATATACTTGTTTTTCCTCTATTTGTTTCTTTTAACCCTGGCCGGTTTACACGAAGGCTCAAATTCGAGCCCTGTAGATGGAATTGCTAAGGGCAATAAGCTAATAATAACTAGGGATGGCAATGGGAGGGAAAAATGTTGCCCCATCCCCGCTTTGTACCTCATTCAGGGTGATATTTCACGTACTATTTTCGTCTAAAATAAGACAAGACGAGCAGGGTTGAGCTCCATCAAATTGTCATTCCTAAAGATAAAAGAGCGAAATTAGGGTGGAAATGACCCCATCTCGTCTTAAAAAATGTCGCTCTATCCCTATCTTGTGTTTTGTTTAGGGTGATATTTCTTGTATCATCTTCGTTCCAAATAAGACGAGACGGGTTAGATTGCCATCTCTAATGATAACTCATTGACCATATTTTTTTCCTTTGCTTTCTCTATGCATTGAAAAAAGAAGCCCATCGGTTTTTTTTTTTTTTGTTTTTTGGGTTGAGTGTAAAATGAAAGCCTATTTAATGTTTTCCAATCCACAAACAAAATGATTGCCAGTACTCAATTAGACTAGAGTGAGACTAAATTCGTAGGTCATTGTGTTTGGTTAAAAAGAAAATTAACATCTTGGAATATTACAAAAGAAATTCGGAATTGGTACCTCAATGACCAAGCAATGATGAAAATAAGCCCTGGAGCAAGGTTCGGCATGGCTGTTGCCATTGCTGGTGAAGTTAGCTCAATCCCCTTAAGAAATAAGGACTGAAACAGAGTAACCCTGAAAATGACATAGGAAAGAAAGAAAACCATTTGAGTGCCATGCTCAATGAATCACTGTCCAGGCTTTTCTCCTGTGTTCGTTTCTTGGTCACACTCACAAAAAAAAAAAAAAAAAAAAGGTAACAATGTCTACAAACAATAGAAAAATCGATGGACAAATGAAAATAGAATGTCCAACATAAAACTTCAAAATATATATATAAAGAAAGAACATGTTAGGATTCAGACACCAATAGCTGTAGAAAGATCAATATCGCTCATCATCAACCAAAGTTGTAGAAAATGCTGGGCTCCAAATTCAAGTTGATAGAAATAAAAATACAGAGTTGCCTAAAGCTAACTGTGTTATCTTTAGTTATGAATCATTATATGACTTATATTACAACTTGGCACAATTCTCTTCAATTAATAATGGAGAGTCACGTATTTTTCGAATGTACCGAGTGATTGTGTGAAACTAATTCAAGAGGACACTAAGAGGATAGCTTTCTTAAGATATTGTACTACTTAACCATGTTGTTTAGGGCTATAACTCTTCTTCTGATAAAAAAAAGTAATGGAGAGGCACGAGATAAATCTTTGAAAATTTTGTACTCCAAACAGAACCTAAACTAATGCTCCAAAAGAGAATACGTGGAGAGAATCCTATATTGTGATTTTCATGTATAAGATAACCATAACTTGTGGTAACTTATGGAATTTTCTCGAGCATTTAAACTAATTTAAACTTTCTTATAAAAATGGAAAAAACTAATTTAAACTTTCATCATCCCATTTGTACTTTGTTTTTGTTCAAATAAAATAGTAGTTTGTATTTATTACTTGATAACAATGACTCGTCAACTTTGATTTAACGTTCACTGCAATTAATGAAATGAAATCTCAAAAATAATTAAAGATCCTTAATTATTTCCTTACCCTCCAAAAGAGATTAAAACCATCTGAATCAACAACTTGAAACTGAATTCCTTTGGCCATTTGCTCCTGCAACATGAACATCAATTAATCATCAATTTCCCCTATATATATATATATATAGACAGATACGAGAGAGAGAGAGACTCAGAAAGGGAGAGAGACCTTTCAAAATGTGCAGCAAAGGGGAGATTATAAGGAAGGTGGCAGAAGTAGAGAAGATAACAATGGTTAGAGGGTTAAGGCCAAGAGACATGAGATAGCTCAATAAAATTGAGTTTCCTGCATAGACAAATTGCACCATTACCAAGCCTCCAATAATCATCAAATCCTCGAGAATCTGCTTCTTCTTGTACCAAACCATTTTGAAATATCTCGTCCCAGCAAAATCAATAACTATCCCCTCCAAGAAGCAAAAGCACACAGATGGCCGGGATGACTTTCTGTTATCTTTATTCTCTCTTCATTGGGTCACCGATCATCTCCAAACAAAAAACCCAAGTGGAGAATGCCAACATCTTTCTGTCTTTTTATTTTTTTTTATTTTGCTACTTCTGTTACAAGATTAGTTAGAATCACATAGAAAGATAAAGGGTATCTCACCCTAATTTTCTTGATATACAACGAAACCAGTTTGGCAGTGCCTTTCTTTCACGGTTGGCTGTTTGGTTTTGTTGTTACAAGTGGTTTTCTCTTATTGTGTTTTTTCTTTTTTAGTGTCTATCTAACCTTCATGAATGCTTCCCTACCAGTCTTCTTTCCCGGTCCTTCGCACATCATAGATTGAGTATCTATTGTCCTTTTCCTAGCCATTCTTACCTACCTTGTCTTCAACGGCTCTCTTTTTCTCTATTTTTCTTGACAAAACGTCTCTCCCTATTTTTGGAGTTTTTTTGTTAAGAAAGAAAGAATAAAAAGAAAATTCTAATGTGCTGTTACTGTTAGATATTACCTTTAGATCATCTTTTACAGGGATGATTCGCATTTTCCTCTCTGATAATCTTAGTAAAACGGCTATAGTTTTGCCTTTGTAAAAGAAAAAGCTACAAAATTTTCACTTTTTATTACAAAGGAGAATTAAGCACAGCTTATACCTTTAGCTACTTTATAGCATAGCATGCTTATCAAAACCAGACCGAAATGTTAACAAATACACTTATGAATTACACTATATGAGAATCAGTTTTTTTCCTTTGCTAGATATATGGATAGTCACAAGGTTAGTGGCTGGTAGTTTGTCAGACAGAGAATAGTCGGATTTATTTAACTTCACAACTCACTGCTCGAATTTGTGGAGCTAAATAACGGGACTCCCCATGCTGAAAACATGAATCGAAATTGCAACCTACTGGACAAAACAAGAGACTTGTTTTTTTTTAATATATTTATTTACCACTCGGCTACAAACCATTGGTAGGAGATGTAAATAAGTTAATTAGTACAAGTAAATCAAAGCGTATTACTATAGTTAGTGACAATTTCCATGTAAAATGATAGCCTGCACGAGGCTTATTTCTCTGTGTCTGTTTCTCTCTCTCTCTCTGTCTCTCTCTTTTTCCTTTTCAAGTCTCTAATTTGTTTGCGCATTCCATTGTTTGTTTTTTCAAAAAACAAAATCAGTAATATCGAAATAAATTTCCATAAACACATCAAATAGATTATACAAGTTAAATTTAAAAATATTGTTTTATGGTACATTTTATTTTTTTCTAATTTTTATATTTCATCTTAATTGGAGTTCTGGATTTTGAGAAAAAATATAAAAAATAAAATTTCCTATCATTTTTACTGAATATTTATACATTTTATGTATATATATAATTTTTAATTTTTATTGTTTCAACAAAACATATACATTGTATTTTATTTTTCTCATTGAAACATCTAACTTTACACGAAACATTAAGAGGGTAAAATGAAGTATGTGAATCAAACCAATTTTTAACTTTAAAAATGAAATTGAAGTTAGAAAAGTAAGATGTCATTGGTAATTAATAAATAAAATGATTGATGAGACAAATGTTGTCATCTTAGTAAAATAATTCAAATTTTTTGAATTCTTAATTTTTTTAAAAAAAAACACATTATCTATTATAAATGTGTAAAAAAAAAAAAAACCTGGTCCCGCAGCAAATGTGCTTGTTGTAGACTCGTAGTACTTGAAATAAGCAATTCCATTTCAATTGGGTTGGGCTTCCGTGGATCGAGTTGGGTTGGATTAGGCATTGTTGCTTTACCTCTTACAGTCCATCAATAAAACTCCAGTTTTTTTGTTTTTTTTTTGTTTTTTTTTTCTTTTCTATTCTAAAGACAAATTCTTGGTACTTGGAATATTGTAATCATACATGCAACTACTTGGAAATTATTGCCACTTGGCCCAATATTGAAGACCCTTAAACTGATGATAAAGAGGAAGAATTTAAGAAAGGGACGAAGGACCTTAACTTGAAGAAAAGCGAGTCAATGTCAACGGTCCCAATTGAACAAAATTTACTTGGAACGAAGGACCTTAAATTAATCTACTGTTTGACATTAAATAGAATTGGCCTAATATCGTACAGTTCGATTCTTCAATTAATGCGGGATTTGCTCGCAAGAGCATGTTAAAAATCCAACAATTTAATTGAGAAGGAAACTAAAAAGACAGATTTGAATACAAGATATATTGTTTAAGTAAATGATTTTATATTTGAGTTTTTATATGTATAATTTTTTTTAAAATATCTGTATTATATTTTCGACGTAACAGTAAAAGATTAATCTAAATATTTAAATTTGAAATATTTTATGATTAAAAAAAAAACCCACCATATATGCTCGAATTTAAGTTGAGATAGACGTAACCGAGTTCGGTGGTCATTTCTTTTTCCTTTCTGAATGCTATGCTTCTATAAAAACAAACATGAACATTTTAATCGCAATCTTTACAGATACATTTTTTTAAATCTTTTTTGTGCCCAAAAATATGCATGATTTTGGTTCTTTCACAAGCGCCTCTTAAATTTATGACATCTAGTTACGCTCCCAACAAGTATCTGTCTCCAATCTGGAAGCCTTCATTTGGATAGGTAGTATTTGTCTTGGATATTAAGTAATACCTTGGTTATTTACCTGTTTTGAGTTCAGGTATATTCTTTGGAATGATAGTGTTAACGTGTTTGGGTCAGGGGTTTGCTTTTTAAATTTGAGCGTGGCCAATTTTTGGTCATTTTTAAAATACCCAATAGGTGGACCAAAACAAACTTCTCTATAGTACGAGAAGGAAAATATTTTGCTCTTCATATATGGGACGCTGTACATACATATATATAAGCATATGGTACCAGAAAAGAAATAAAATCAGATTCACATGAATAGTTATCTCATAAAAAAAATATCTGAAAAAGGTTTAAAAAAACCAAAGAATTTCCTTTCCTTCATTCGAGTGTGTAATTTTGCTACCCCTACAAAGTACTTCATATAAAAAAATAACACTGAAAATGACACCAAAAAAGAAGTGTCATTTTGTACATAGAAACAGTATCAAAATGCCCACCACTAAAGAAATAGTCCACTTTGATGGTCTAGTATTTCTTAGACCAATTCCCTTGTTAAATGAATTCTCCGATGCCAACAAGGAGCTAAACGTGAAATTAGGATTTGACCCATAAAGAGCTTGAACACCTTTTACATCATCAATCTTAAGGTCCACTTTCTTAGTCCCGGGACTCAAACTTGGATACATCACAGCTTCTTTTACCGAAGAGTGAGCCAATCCAAGTACATGCCCAATCTCATGCGTAGCAACTGATTCCAAATCAACGGCCACCCTTGATTTAGTTTTCTCAAAATCAAGGGCCCACGTTTCACTTGCATCAAGATGAAGCCTCCCATTCTCCGGTGAAAATGCATGAGCCAGTACTCCTAGAGCCCCATCAAACGGTTCTCCATCGCCATGATCCCTATGATAAAACCCAATTCGAATATCTGCTGATGGATAATCTTCAATTTCCATGAAACTCACTGGAATCACCTGTGCCCACCTAGAAAAGGCATGCTTGAAAACTGTCTTTATGTCGTTTAAACCTATGTAATCAATCATATGATTCTGCGAAAACGCATAGGTTAGTATCACCGGTGCCTGACGTGCCCACCTCGGCTTACCATAAAAATATGCAAAATGTTTTGTCACATGAAACGTTGAGTTATGAGTCTTTGTGTCACCAACTCCACATCTAGGTGACACGATCGTTGATATAGTATCAGAATCTAGTTTACCTGTCACAAGTAATCCTAGATTAGTTTGATATGCAATAACCGCTGATTCGAATTGCTTATCGAAGATATCGGTGAAATTGTTCGTATCCGGAATAGGGAGGTAACCGAAACGGTTGAAGTATTTCTTCAGCTCCGACATGCCACTGACTTGACTGCCCTTCCCGGCATCAAGGAAGCGAGTGAACTCATGCCACGTGGTAGTGGTGTTGTGCGTATCGACGGTTATGACAGTTGATGAGGAGTCCGGTAAGATTCTGGCGGGAAAGGAAGGGCGGGAGAGGCAGAGGAAGGAGAGAGAGATTAGGAAACTGTAATAACTGAAAATTTGAAACATGGTAGTTGATGTTTAAATCTGTGGGGTACTGTTTTTTGTTTTGGGATTTGAGCCTCTATAATTGCAGCGGATATGAGAGGATTTATAATTATTAGCCCGGGAGTGTGGATTGAGAGAAGTACTTAAATTTTACATAAAATCAACACAAAAGTCATATTTGAAACTATATATATATGATCTCAGATAAGATGGAGGAACAAGCAATTGAAAAGGAGGAGAAAGTTAGGAAGATTCTGCCGTGGCCTTGTGTGCCTTTTCATTACAGATTCTGACTTTGGTGGGGTGTTATATGGTGGGTAAACCACTGTCTATATGTTGCTAATTATCTAGTATTTGTTTTGATTTAATTAAGTTCATGCAATTAATTATCGAAGACTGCGTTTTGATATCTGAATGAATTTTTCTTAATGTATTTCAATTGAGGACAAGAAAAAGATAAGATCAGAAAAATCATAATAATTTGCTTTGTTTCTAGTTTATTTGATGGTTTTCTGTTTGTTGACCAAATTAGGTGATGCATGTTAAAACTAAATTTATTTTCTTCTGAAATCACTATCTAGTGGTGTGTCTTATGTGCCTAATTAACTTGTATTACTTGACAATCGCTTGATCTTTGACCCAAAATCACACAAAACATAAACAATAAATGTGTTTGTTCAGCTCAGCTTGCTAGGTCAAGCAATTTTTGTATTTTATATTTTTTTATGTGGGTATTTTATTTTGCTTTTTATTGCTAATGGTTCTAGTGCTTTGGCATTGATCGCAACAGCAATTTGTGAGGGCCTATGGATGTATTTGTTTGAAAATGCATTTTCAATGTATTTGAATTTTTTTTCAAAAACACATTTGGATTAAAAAGACATCAATTTATTATTTTTCTATGTGCTTTTGAATGATTTTGATATGTTAATATAAAAGAAAATTACCTGAAAAGACATTAAATTAATATTGTTTCAAGTCAAACATATTTTTATAAAAACACAAGCAGAGTATTGCCAAACACACATAAAAAATGAGGAACCAAACTTAGCATAGTAATTTCTAATGTTATCAAGTAATTGATAAAGATGAATGATTTTATTTGGCTTTAGTGTATACTTATCAAAAGAATCTTTTCTTTTTATTATAAGAAAATCCCAATCTAGAAAGTTAAATTGATCAATAAGATTTAGAAATTGTTTATATTATTCTTTAATATACTTTCTCACATAACAATTCTTTGGATTTGAAATTTATACATGTCTATTACTATTTTGTATTTAATTATTTAATCAAAAGAGAGAACGAAGATGGTGAGATTCAAATTTATGACTATTTGATCATTAAAACTTTGATATCATGTCAAAAGATTATCTCACTTTAAAAACTTAATTTATTGGGTGAGATCAAGAATAATTTTATATTATTCTCTAATACTAATTTTAAGTATATTCTAAGAAATTATTGGAACATATCATAATCAATAGAGAGGGGAAATTGTGATTGTTTATTTTAGTGTGCAACAATAAGTTTAATACGGAAGGTTAAAGAAGTCTTATTTGGTTTCGCTTTCAAAGCGCAATGAAGCTATCCAAATGATGCAACTAGAAGTATAACTCCATTATGAGTAACTTCTTTCTTTGTCACTATAATTATCAAGGGGTCCTATCCATCTTCTCTAATTGGCTTCTTTCTTAAGCCATTTCTGCAAAAAGTTTTTGACGAATTCCATATGGGCGAAAGCTAATAGGAAAGGATTTCCAATTATAGGCCTTTGTCAAGATAGCTCATTTTTTGTACTTGCGACTGTTGATTCATATCCTTTTCAGGTTGAGTAATAACAATAGGATTCATAGAAAAAAACACAAACAAGGGGATATATAAATAGATGGGGAGTTTCTATTCTTTTAACAACCTTCTCTCTTTCACTATATCACTTGTATGAGATATGTACGTAGTTCAATTTTACATGAGTTAGTTGATAGACTTGCAAGAATTGATATTACATACCATTTTTTGAAATAATTGTGAAGAGACTAACATATCAATGGATGACCTTATTACATTCCATTTTTTAAAATAATTGTGAAGAGACTAACATATCAATGGACAACCTTGACTAAGAAAAACCTAATTTTAATTTTTTTCTTAATCAAATAGGAGTTTTTTTTTCATTTTTAGAATATAAAGTTTTTCAAAAATTTTAATTAAATATTTTCGTCTAACATTAATGCTGACAATGAAAAACCTACATTCTTCATACACTAATTTTTTTTCCAATGAATTATATGAATTTTAATTATTTAATTTTAATACACCAATTTTTTTTAACTGTAACAATCAAGTACATCCATAAAAGATCCGTCAATTTTATGTTTTCAAGAAAACTTAATCTCCAAATAATATTATATTTAATAAACAATTATTTTTAAATAAAAAAGGTTTTTTTAATTATTATTTCTTGTTCATTTTTTTTTTTTTATGTTACGATCACATGATATCTTTATATTGGTTTTCAAGTTCCTAAATTAAGTCCAAAAATCAAAGACAAGCCATCTATGCCAACAATAAGAATTATTTATGATTAATTAAAACTAATAAATAGATTATTAATATAAGTTAAATTTTATTATTTTAACCAAATAAACTTATTCCATGTGATTGCAAAATAAATGGATTTTTGTTTTGATCTGCATCATTGTTTCTTTTTTTAAACCAAATAAATATATTTATTTCAATTTGAAAATAATTTTTATTAATCAAATACAATATTGTTTGGGAGGAAACTTTTCTTCAAAAGAAAAGAACCCAAATTTGATGCTAATTGCTAGGCGGTCAAAATCAACTTTCATGTGATTAAAAAAGAAAAAACTAACATATTTTTAATTGAAGTATTTGATTGACACAAGCTAAAAAATTCGTGTTCCAAACCAAAAAATGACTAAAGTTCATTTATTCAGTAGATGAAAATAAAACTTAGTGCACATGCAAGGTAATTTTTTCTTAATTAAGATCAGAGGACCCATCAGCAGAGAAAATGGAGCTGTTGATTGAAATTAAATAAAAATACTTGATTGAAAATTTTGATAAAGTCAATATATTCAAATAAAAAAAAGATTAAAATTCATATATTTGATTAAAAAATAAAAGGAAAACTGGCGTAGCAATGATATTGTAATCGTCACCAAAACAATATAATGTGTTTTTTTCTTTTTGAAAGAGCACGGCATGTCTTTGGAGAAACGCTAATCACACTAGCAGAAGTAATTACAAGCACCAAATGACAAGTCTGGCATAGTAGAGGGCTCATCAATACATAAGCATTCCATAGTATAGGCATACGGACGGCTATGATTTCACACGGAATCACACCTATAATACCTGCTAGTGCTATGTGATTTGCACTTTTTCATATTGTTTCTACGGTTTGGTATAATTAATAGATAATATAGTGGACTATGAATTCGCAGTTTTAAGAACATTGAATTTAGAGAAAAAGTCAGTGAAACGTCGTTGATATTTGATAGATTTCTGATAACATTTGAACTGAGTTTAACTGTGACAATTTTCCCATACGAAAGTTGTTAGAATTAGTCTTGATTTAATCACTTCTTTGTCTCAGACTTAAAGCTTTGTCTTCAATGTTTTCCATGGTATATAATAAACCAACTGATCCTTGGTATCATATACCCAGGCATAAACTCTTCGATGTTTTTGAAAATGTAATAGTTCAATAATCAAGTACGTTAAATTTAAGTATCGTTCCGATTTTAAAGCTTAGTTCATAGTCAATGCAAGCCCTTAATTACCTGTATTCTATCGATATTGGTCTTTGTACCAAGGATGTCATGTAAAGGGTTTAAAATATATATATATGAAAGTTTACTTGATGGTTATCATGTGTGTATTTAGAACTCGATAAGTATTTAATAATATAAATTGTTTTTCTTCTTCATATTCAACTATCAAAACTGCTAAGTTTAATTGCTCAAGAAAGGAAGCTGAACCACTTTTAGGTGGAAAATGGAATTTAACGAATACCAGCAGAGAGTAGTTGAAATGATGACGATATCACATGAGATAAAGATAAACCATAAATGAAACTCGGGGACCCTTGCAAATTGGAGCAGCAAAATTGATTATTAAACAAATTAAGATGATCAAGTAAACACGATTAAATTAATTAAAAAACTGAACTCCAATCATGTATGCCACATCAGCAAACAACATCTTTTAATTTGTTGGACGTTGTGCCATCAAGATCATAGAATTGGCGTTGATGGTGGTCCTCCGTCCGGCTGCTAATGAACTACTACGAAAAGAATGAAATTAGTAACAATTAAACTCAGCTCAAAGGCATGGCTAAATAGTTTTATAGAAGGGGGAAAAAAACCATTAAATTAGAACGTTTTTGTATAAAGAAATTGCCTTTTTTTTCTTTTTTTCTTTGTGTGTGCGCTTATTTTTAACTTACTTAGGTCTAGAGATTTGATTTGTACTAGGTAGAAAAATTCAATTTATGATCAAAGGAATAAATGGAAATTGTTATAAAATAAACAGAAATGATAGTAGAATTGAAAAAAAATAGTGACAAGAAAATGAAATCACTATAATGTGAATATAAGTGATAAGAACTTCAAAGTTTCACTTATTCTCTCTAGAAAACTTATACACCAACTAATAAACAATCAAGCCTATTTATAAGCTTCAAAATTGAGGAGAGAATTGGAAGGGACTATGAATAATCAATTGCATCACCCTTTTAATTTCTCATATTGAATGATGAATTGAATCATATTAAGAATCATGAGTACTGGGGATATGAAAAGTGGATGAACATAATGATGGACATTCATTATTTCATAATACTCCTCCTTGAATGTCCATTGTATAAGGAACATGCCTTGTTAAAACCTTACTAGGAAAAAACCCGATGGAAAAAAATCCTAGTGAAGGAAAAAAAGTACAATATTCCTTGCACGCATTAATCCTCATTTTGGTATCCCCTCTTGAAGGCATTA